CCATTATCACGTAGCCTTTAGTATAGAAGTGCATGTTGGTGTAATCTCATAGCTTCTTTCTCCCTAGGTGGTTTTCCGAGGAGGTGAAGGGGCTTTGCAAGTTCTGCCACCCCTGGTTGATGTCATCCCTGAAGCGAGGCTAAATTTAGTGATTTACTACCTTCGCCAAGGTAAGCCAACCTCTTCTGGTCCTACTCTGATCTCCCAATAGGATCCCTGGTGGTGGTTAAGTAGTCAACAGCTAACTGAAGGGTCGGCAGTTCAAGCCCACCAGCTGCTCTGTGGGAGGAAGATGTGACGGTCTGCTTCCGTAAAGCTGATGACAACCTTGGAGAGCCTGTGGGGCGGTTCTCCTGTGAACCTGAACCCACTCGGTGACAGCAGGGTTTTGGTTTTCATCTCTAAGGAGCCCTAGTGATGTGACAGCTAAGTGCTAGACCACACAGGCTCCCACAGGAGAACACAAGTACAGTGACACTCTGTGAATGAACTGCTTGCTTAACGTTTTAAATGCCCTCTACTTCCCAAAGCCTATTTGCATCAGTTTCACAGGACAGGACACAACTCTTGGTGGCTATTTTTATGCCTCTCCTCTTTTTCTTCTCCTGTGCTGGTCGTCATCTGTCCTCTGGTTTTCCTGTCCTTTGCTCCCTCTATCCCTTCTCTCTCCGTTTTCCTTGCCTCCCTTCCAGTTCTTCCTTCTCTTCCTGCTCTCTCTGTGTATAATGGACATTCCACTGCCTTGCGTCTTTTTTAAAAAACTCGATTTGTTTTTATTTGCTCCGATTTTCTGCCTGGCTGCTTCTTTGTACTTGTAGACTCTGATGAGAAATGCTATGGTTCAAAGAGAACCGATAGTTACTGCCTCCAAGGAAGGCTCAGACTGCTCGTCACATTCCTAACGCCATCTTTGATTGTGTGGCTGTGGAGTCCTGTGGCGCTGTGGGTGAACATGCTGGACTACTGACCGCACTATCCACAAGGCCACAGCAGCACACAACAACAAACAACAGTGCATTCACACATATGCACATATGCATAGATTGTCTGTGCATACATGACACACGTGTAGGACTCCTGGTGTGGCTCTGTGGATCAGCACTGGACTGCAAACAACAAAGTCTGCAGTTCAAACCCACCAGCTGCTCCTCGGAAACCCTATCCAGGGTCGCTATGAGTTGGAACTGACTCCACAGCACTTTACAACAAGAGCACGTATATAGATATGTAATGTACATATATAACCATCCACAGGTTATTGGTGATGTGGTTGCAAATTCCATTTGTCATGTCCTTTTTACCTTTACCTGCTGAAATGTTTTCAAGCAAATTCCAAATGAAATGCCATTTCACACCTAAGTATTGTACTTGGGTGTATTTTTTGGGAGGTCATTTTTCTTCTGTAATCCATTGCCATTATCACAATACTTTTCTATCTACTATCTAAGGAGCTCTGGTAGTGTAGTGGTTACAAGTTGGGCTGCTAACCTCAAGGTCAGCAGTACGAAACTACCAACCGTTCCGTGGGAGAAAGATGAAGTTTTCTGCTCCCATACAAATTTACAGCCTCAGAAAACTTATGCAGAGTTACTATGAGTTGACACCGACTCCATGGCACATAACCACCACCACCATTTACTTCACATTCTTAACTGGAACATGTTTAGGTGCCTTATAACTTTGGTGCCTCATGTCCAAGGACATTTGGTTATCTTTAGCTACTCAACATCGAGCTTGGTTGAGAACTAGAGGTCAGATCAAAACATCCTATATTCCTTGAGTGCTTGAGCACTGGAGGATTGTATGTCTTCTGGGACTGCTTCAGGAGAGCTTGCTGGGACATAGACTAGGTGACTCATTCCTTCTTATGTTTCAGATGATGTACAAGAAGCTTATACCTTAATTAAGGATCTGGAACCAACCACTCCTCAGGTAATCAAGAAGTTTTACATTTGTATTGTTCTGCTGGAAGTCAGTGCTGTCTTGCCAGTTCCGACTCATAGTGACTCTGTATAGGGTTTCCGACGAGTGGCTGGTAGATTTGAACCACTGACATTGTGGTTCAAACCGACCTTGCAGTCCAGTTATTACCCTAAAGCACCACACCAGGACTGCACTGAATGTCAGTAGTGGTCGGAAACTTCACTGACCGGCACATTAGAGGAGATTCCTGCTTGTTAGAATCCCAGCAGAGACCCTAAGTATAAGACCACCATGGTGTTGCTCTGAACTTTTTCAGATTATGTCTACATAATCCTTTGTGTAAAAGGGCTGGAAATCTTGTGAGAATATTCACATCTAGTATTGTGATGAAACTAACAACTAGGTAGACTTACACTGTATTCAAGTTGCATCTGACCTTACATGGCTGTTGGTTGGGGTTTTTTTTTGCATATCCTCATTAGTAATACAATGTTGCAACATGTTATTTGCTGATGTTATTGTTTTCATGGCAACCCCTAAAGACAAATAAAGATCAGATTTACAGAAAGACTGATAATAAAAATGGGGGGGGGGAGGGAGGGGATGAGGTCATTGAGTGACATCGGAACTGACAGGACAGAGTGATTGGAGCAGAACCCCATCATAAGTGAGGAGTTTCTGTACACTTAGCTCATTGGTATAACTCTGGAATGTGTCTTTCACCCACCAGAGATTGTTGGTTCGTTCCTTGCAGTCAGGGACTGTGTCTGTGTTGTGTGGCCAGCCCCGAGTGCCATAGCTGATATATAGTGCGCATTCTGTTTATTGAGCAAATAAATGAATGGATGGAAATGTCCTGTTTCGCCCGGGTTTTAAAAGCTTCAGGCTCCTTCATCGTGTTCTTTTCGTGAGCTCTTTTAACTAAGAACAGCTCCCATGTACTAACTGGTAGAACTGCCAAGGAGCACATTATTAAAGACTTGAACCAAGGCTGAAAGAGCATCCCCATGTTCCAAAAGAGAATGTACCTTACACATGGGAATCAGAAGGTTTTTCCTTTTCCTCAGAAGGAAAGGATTACCAGGGGAGAAAGTTACTAAGTCGCTGGCAGGGGAAAATCATATATAGATGTGGTCACAGAGAATAGCAGTGGCTGATACAGTGAAAAAATATTATGTAAACATTTTCCTCTTCATTCCCCACTGAACTGAAATGAAACAAACCTTATCTCCTGGAAGCTGCAGCTGAGAATTTACAAGCCTGGTGAATTCTGTTCTGTTCAATGGAAAGCCTCCTCCTAATCCAGTCATTTAAACCAGGGATAGAACAGAGAAAAGTGACTCTGGGCAGCTTTTGCAAGTCTGTACCAAGGATGGAGACAATACAGAGAATTAGCAGGACAGATGTAGCTCACGGCCCAACATTCCTCTCAGATTCATCTGTGTTTTTCCATGTTTCCAGGAGTATATCCTCAAAGGAGTGGTCAATGCAGCCCTGGGCCAGGAAATGGGGTCGGTGAGTCACTGGTTCTGTAGTTCGCAAAGTTATCGTGTGTGGAAAAGATCAAACTGTGTATCAGATGTGGTCAGCAGTAAGCTTACAACAGAATTCTTTTGTGATTTCTTTCATTTATCCAAATCCCCCAACCAGATTTTATATTTGAAGAGTCATATGTTATTTGAAGGGGGTAAAAAGGCAGCAGCAGTTTGAGCTATGCTAAGAGTGGTTTCTTGATCTGAGAAGAGCCTCATATCCAAGGGGTACAGCAGCCGGCCCCCCGCTGCCGCACTGTGAATTGCAGGGCTGGCCGATTTCCTAGCCTTGGCCCTCTCCCAGCTATCATTTCGTCAGTTATAACTTGGGGATCAGTGCTTATCTGGGAACGTTTTTCATAAACACTGTCTAAAGACAAGCTCTTACTTAACATGCTGTTTGTTCAACGCTTTTTGAAACAACGGAACCATCGCCATCAAGTTGAATTCCGACTCGCAGCAAGCAACCCCTAGAAGGCAGAGTGGAACTGTCCCACTGGGTTTCCACAGCTGTCAGCTTTAGCAAAGCAGACTTCGTCCCTCAGAGCAGCTGGTGGATTTGAACCACAGACCTTTCAATTAGCAGCTGAGCACTCAACCACTGTGTCCCCAGGGCCTTTGTTCAAGTAAACCCAGTAACAACGCCCACCAACCGCACTGCTGTCAGGTTGATTCCGACACGTGACCCAGTAGTGAGAGGACAGGCTTCCTGAGGCTGTAAATCTGTTTGGAAGCAGACAGCCTCTTCCTCCTCCCTCAGAGCCGCTGCTGGGTTCAAACAGGCAGCCTTGTGGTTAACAACTAAGGGCTTGACTCACTGTACCACCAGGGCCACCTTTTTGGAGCAAAGTAGGACACCCCCAGCTCACTCCCGTAAATAGTTGTTCAGAACAAACTTTTCATTCATAGATATTTGCGGTCACAGCTGTAGCCCCTCCTGCCGGGTCTGCCACACGGGTCTGCCACACAATATTTTTTGAATGAGTCGTTGAGCGAGTTCAGCTAAGAAAGGTACTATTCACATGGAATTGGCATTGTTTTCATCTTTTGTCTGACTCTGAGTAGGTTCTACTTTTGTTTCAGATGATCATTTTCCGATTGTTTATGCTCATAAGAATTAGTATTGTTTTTGTCAACATTTAGCAAAAGTATATGTGGACTCTTGACCAACATGTCAAAACCTTCAAGTGTCATGCAAGTGAAGTCGTTTTACACACACACACACACACACACACACAGCCAGCTCTGCTTTGTTTTTCAGAGGGACCATATGAAAATTGCGCAGCAGTTCTTCCAGCTGGTGGGAGGATCGGCTAGTGAATGTGGTAGGTCTGCAAGCTGGACTTGGGAGCTCGGGTTCTCTGCCCAGGGGCATGTCTGCCTGTGGGGATCCCCTTACATAGAGGGAGGTCGGAATCGGAAAGAAGGTTGGACTGCCCCCCCCTCCCCCCCGCCAGCAGTATCTCAGCTAATGGGGGCTGAGAGAATGATACAGGACGATGAATGTGTTCTTTACTTCACGAGGGACGGCTCATCTTGGGGTAATCTTATTTTCACTATGAGTTTTAAGCTTTGTCAACACTTGCATGGACATTCACATTTGTCTTGTTGCACATGTTCCTCTCTGGTGGCTCATTCATTTGCCTTTTGACTTTGTAGTACTTTTTTCTCCTGATAGGAAAGTGTTACCATTTTATCCAGGCAAGTGTAACAGTCCTAGTGTGGCACTGTAGGATAAGCACTTGAACACTAACCACAAAGTTGGCAGTTCAAATCCACCAGCCACCCCTTAGAAACCCAATACAGGGTTGCTGTGAGTGCGAACTGACTCAACAGCACTTAACAACATCTCTTCTCTAAAGCTTTCTTACATGGGTTCCAAGCTTAGAAACTGCTTTCCAATCTCTCCGTTACAGAATTTGTTGTTGTGTGCTGTTGGATCAGTTCTGACGCATAGCAACACTATACAGGGTTTATGAGGAGCAGCTGGTGGGTTTGAACCACTGGCCTTGTGGTTAGCAGCCAGTGCTGACCCAACACTGCCACGCTAGAACTTAGTTATCGAATCATCACCTAATCCTCTTTTTCCACTAGTAGTAGTGTGGCTTTGTTTTTTATAATCAGAGTAGGGATTTCCTCCAATTTGATCCCGACTGCTAGAAGGCTGACAGGTGGCCAGTGTGACCTGCATGGTTGCCTGGGGCACTTGTCTGTGAATATTTGTTTTCTTTCCAATGTTTTGCTGACAGTTTGTTTAATGTTCTCCTTCATTTCATTTATGCAACAGAGTGCACTGAGGTGATGGGTATACAGCAATAAACAAAACAAACAAAAGCCAGCCCCCAGCCCCCATGTGGAGCTTCCAGTCTGAGGGAGAGAAACAAGTTGGACATGTCATAAATGAATTGATGATCTCATGAAATCATCGTGAACAGGGGGCCCGAGACTGAGTGTGTCAGTGGCTGAGTGTGACACACAGAGCTCACTTTAGATGGGCCACTTAGGTGCCCTGCCTCTTCCATGATGCTGAATTCTAGCCCCCCACCCCCAGCCAAAATCTGTTCAGAATCTAGAAGGATCTTGGGGATATTGAAGGTTCAGCTCAGAGCACCTTGATAAAGCAAGGCACACAAATATTTTGGTTTCTCAGTGATGGGCAGACTCTACTGCAGTCTGAAGTGTGTGGTAGCATGGTGGAAGGGTGTGAAACGTGAGAATGACCACAACGGGACCCAGAGATGCACGGTTGCCACAAACCTTCAGTATGTTTTTCAGAAAGCAGCAGTGCCCCATCTGTGCAGTGCAGCACAGTGAAGCATGCCTGTATGACGTGTGCCTGTATGAAGTGTGCCTGTATGATGTGTGCCTGTGTGATGTGTCCCTGTATGACGTGTCCCTGTGTGATGTGTGCCTGTGTGACGTGTGCCTGTATGACGTGTCCCTGTATGACGTGTGTCTGTGTGATGTGTGCCTGTATGATGCATGCCTGTGTGACGTGTGCCTGTATAAAGGAAGCATGTCTGTATGACATGTGCCTCTAAGATGCATGCCTGTATGAAGCGTGTCTGTATGACGAAGCCTGTATGATGTGTGCCTGTATGAAACCACTCCGATTGCAGTTGCAGAGAACTTTTCCTTGGTGAGCACGTGCTGTCTCTCCCTTGTTGCAGATACGATCCCCGGAAGGCAGTGCATGGCCTCATGCTTCTTCCTGCTGAAGCAATTTGATGATGTCTTGATTTACCTCAACTCATTTAAGGTCAGGGGCTGTCTGTGATGGGGCTGAGGAAATGAGCTGCTCTCAGAACTGACCATGTTGCTTTGTGGGATTCCTGGCACCCGCTGCTCCCTGACTGTCATTTTTGTGTTTCTCTGGTATAACGAGTGTTTTTTATGTTTCATATGTTAACTTCCAACGTGGCTTCTTCTTGGACTGGTTTGCAGAGTTACTTCTACAATGATGACATCTTTAACTTTAATTATGCACAAGCTAAAGCTGCAACAGGCAATACCAGCGAGGGTGAGGAGGTGGGTACCTGCTTTGAAAGCGTCTGCAAGCCTCTGTCAGAAAGCGTCCTTGTGTGTCTTTCTCTCACTGAAATAATATGGGCAAGAGTAAAGGATTCTTTAAGATATCTTTTGTTCTTCTTGTTAAGTGCCATCGAGTTGGTTCCAACTCACAGTGACCTTGTATGGGGTTTACAAGGAGCAGCTGGTCTGAACTGCTGACCTTACAGTCAGTAGTCCAGTGCTTATCCTATTGTGTCACATCAGGACTCCACAGTGCCACCATAACTTTCCATGAATTTTCATAAAGTGAATACACCCATATAGCTAGTACTTAGATCATAAAAGAAAATGTTTTCAAAACCCTCTTTTATATTTCTAGTCTTTGCTCCCTTTGAGTGACTGCCCTTCCCCACAAAGCTAACCACTGTCTTGACTTCTAATTCCATAGATTGCTTGGTCTGAATTTGAAAATTGTATCTATGGGATCACCTGGCATGTGCCATTATATATGGCATCTTTCATTCAGCATTTTATCTGTGAGATTCATCCACAATAAAGTCCATCCATGTTGTTGCTTATAGCTCCTTTTCATTCATTCTCATGACTGTGTCGTTCTCAACAGTTTTAATCCATGCTCCTATAAAGCAACCTTTGGTTTATTTCCAGGTTTTGACAATATTGTAAGTATTGTTCTCATGAACATTCTTGTACTTGTCCATTAGTGAGCATACATATGTGCAAAAATATGGCACCAACTATTCCCCCACAGGTCTCTCAAGTGGGTTCAATAATTCATTGTAACAGCCACACAGAACTCAGACACCATACTCAGTTATGGGGTTTATCAGGGAAGTTGTTGTTGTTTTAAGAGCCTCAAGTCAGTTCCAACCCAAAGTGACCCTTTATAGGGTTTCCCAAGAGCAGCTGGTGAGCTTGAACCTCCAACCTTGCAGTTCAAACCGACTTTGTAGCCCAGTGCATTAACCCACAGCGCCACCCCCGGACAGGATCAAAATTGCTCAGGCATAGTTGTTCCAGTCAGGACAGCCTGCCTCTCCTCAACCATGCCCACAGGCAGGCCTCTCTCTTCCCCACCAGTGTCAACAAAGCTCTTTCAGGGCTGCTGAGAAACACCCAGGGAACACACCACTCCACCATCAGCCTCAGCCTGAAGGCACTCAGCTCTACTCCATGGGTCAGCAAACCTCACCCCTAATTAAGCGTTTAGAGGCACCCTACTCTGCAATCAAGCCTTCTGCCCAGAGTCACTCATCTTTGCTCAGTGTGTGGGAATCCCACTGCTCAGTCTTTGCCTGCTCTGTGTGGGAATCCCACTGCTCAGTCTTTGCCTGCTCTGTGTGGGAAGCCCGGTGCTCGATCTCGTGCTCTGATTTTTTATTCTGCTGCCACCACTCCTCTGGGGTCACATCTTTCTGTCTGTGGATCAAGGAGGTTCACTGTGCAAAGATCTCTGGGTCCAAATCTTTGCACAGTGAATCTTTGTGCTCTACTCCTGGCTCTTTCTCCCTGATGGTAGCGGATTCCCCTCCTGCTTCTGAGATGGCTCATTTAAGCCCACGTTAGAGTTCCAAGTGTTCACAATTACAGTGAACTCTGTTACTATCCACAGTGAAATCATGTCATGCTACCATTGTCTTCTCCCACCTCTCTCACCCAGACCTAGCAGGGCCAAAATGTCGTTGGGTGGGAGGTACAAAGACTATGGGAAGAAGAGACATCTGAAATACTTCAGTGCTCTGCAGTATGCATTACCATTGGGCGTGTGGCTAGAAGAGGAGTATGCCTAATATCCGAGTTTGGGGTCATAGGGAGTGTGTGCTTAGCTTTAGTGGATGTGGCCAAATAGACAACACCAGTAGTGTGTGAGTTCCAGTTACTCCACATCTTTGTCAACACTTGATGCTGTCTGTTTTGTTTTCTTACTTTTTTCAGTTTAGTCATTGTGATGGACATGTAGCGGTACTGTACATGGGGCTTCAAAAAGTTTGTGGGAAAGTGGAATGAAAAGATACTGACATTTTTTCCACAAACTCTCTGAATCCCCTCATTATTATGAGATAAGTTACTCCCTGATTACTAGTGTGACAAGTTCCTTTTCATGTTTTTTGTCTCCTGAACATTCTCTTTTATGAAATTCCTATTCAGGTCTTCTGCCCAAGTTGCTTACCTCTTCACTTTCTTAATTGGTATCTTTTAATGAAAGGAAAATATATGCTTTTATGTAGTCCAGTTTTTAAATATTTTTCTTTTATGGATAGCAACAAAGTTTTGTGTTCTGTATAAGGGATCTTTGCCTATGTAATATGTTGTTGTCCTTAAGTGCCGGTGAGTCGGTTCTGACACATAGCGACACTGTCTAGGGCTTCCAAGGCTGTCTAGCAGAAAGCCTCATCTTTCTCCTGCCATGTGGCTGTGGGCTTTAAGCCGCCAGCATTGTGGTTCACAGTCTAGTGCTTATCTTACAGAGCCACTGCATTCCCATGTACTATACTGATGTTTATTGCTATCTGGCTTCTCTAACTGGAACATAAGGCAGCAGGTTTTGTCTGCTTTGTGCACTAGTATATCCAAATGCTTATATTACCTGGTACTTAGTAAGAATTCAATACATTTTTCGCTGAATGAATTCTAAGTGAATCAGTCAGGCTCAGGATCATAGTGATGAGTGCAAGAATAAACGTATCTAGAAGAGTTCTGTAGTCTGGTTTTATTTATATAAAGTTCAAAATCACAAACCTGAAGAGTAATGTTGTAATAAGTAAACATGGTAAGCTGTAAAGATGAGAAGAGAATTGTAAACACACAGGTCAGGTGACATGATTTCGAAGAGGGGCAGTGGGTGAGACAGGACCAGGAGGAAGCATCCTAAAAACTTCAAAGGTAATGGCAATTGTGGTTTCTGGAGGAGTTTCTTCTTTTTTTCTTCAAGTTAGTTGTGGGTACACATTTATTAGTTGCTTCTTATTCTTTATTCCTTACTCATATTTTTTGTTTTATAAAAAGACAATTTTTACTGTACTGTACACGACAACTATCCAGGGGTAGAAGTTCCCCACCCTGTGCCGTCGAGTCAGGTCCTCCTCATAGCGACCCTGTGTTGGGTTTCCAAGGGGCAGCTGGTGGGTTTGAACTGCCGGCCTGTGGTTAACAGGTTAGTGCTTACACTACAGCTCTGCACCAGGACTCCCTCGCAACGCTCTGGTGGTGATGGGGTTGCCACTGAGTCAGTTCTGATTTACCACACTCTGGATAGGCTTTCTAAGACTATGAACCTTTACAGGAGCAGAAAGCCTCATCTTTCTCCCACGGAGTGAGTAGATTCAAACAACTGACCTTGAGGGTAGCAGCCCAGCTCGTAACCCACTACGCATCCAGGGCTCCTGTAGCACCCTCTGATGGTGGTGGTGGAATGCCACGAGAGTCGGTTCCGAGGCCCTAAAAACACATGAATTCTATTTGCTCTCTGATCTCACCCTGAAGCTCTCGTGTACTTGTGAACCATTTACAGAGTTAGCATGGAGGAATTTTATTTCCTGTTCTCTGCTATTGCCACGCCCCTGGAGAGTCTAATGAGACTCCCAGTTGGTATCAAGCTTACAACGTAAGGAAATATTTGTATTACCAGGGACACATCTTTTAGTTTCACGAGCATATGAAAATGTATATTCAAAGAATTATTTGAAAAGGCATATGTAGGGGGAAACACTGCAGCTTCTGTTTAGGGCTTGAGAAGAGTGGCCGAGATATCTTTGTCCTTTAGGAGAGAGAGTGGAGACCGTGTCATTATCTCCTCTGATTTCGGACCCCTCGCTTTTCAATTGCCCTGGTTATTGAAACCATAACTCCAACCCAGAATAAAAGAAAAAAAGACTTTGGATATCCAATATTGCTCTCACAAAAGCGTACTTCTAAAGCCTTGTGCGCTGTGGGAAGACTAAGTCCTTGGAATATTTGTCCAGCATTGATTTTCCCTTGTTAAAATATCAAGCTAATCTGAGGTGGTTGTGTTTCTTAACCTCACATATTTTTAAAGCAATAAATAAGAGCTCCTTCAATCAGAGTCTCTGAGGAAGTCCACTTATCCCCTCCATCAAGCATGTTCCATTTGCTAGCACTCTGGAAATCTATGACAATTACAGAGAAGGGCCCTGTCTTCATGGAACCTTCAGTAAACGTCTGGTACAGTGAAGGTACTGGGGTCGACGTGGAAGGCAGCTCACAGCAGAGGGAGAACTAAGACGCTTAAAAGCCATGTAGAAATTGGGCTCTTACAGAACGTTGTTGTTGTTAAGTGCCGTTGAATCAGTTCCTACTCATAACGACCCTGTATGGGGTTTCAAGGAGCAGCTGGTAGGTTCGAATCACTGACCTTGCAGTCAGTCCACTGCTCATCCTGTGTCATCAAACTGGTCATAACTATTTTTTTACTGCAAAAGCCTCTTCATGTTTCCTCCCTTCCTTCCCTTCCTGCAGGTGTTCCTCCTGATCCAGAGTGAGAAGATGAAGAGTGACTACATTTACCTCAGTTGGCTGGCTCGGTGCTGTGAGTACCCTCAGAGGGAATGACTCTGGCCGATGCTAAGGGTCTTGTGCAGAATGTGTAAACACTGAAAGGAAGCGTGGTCATGCTGCTCACCCAGGCTTCCAGTCATTTACTCAGTGATGGGCTTGTGCTTTTGAGATGCCAGGCGCTTCCTTCAGCCCTGCTAGCATTTCCCGAACCTCCGTGTGCAGTGGCCTGTGTGGAATGACCCCGGGACACTACCTGTACCTTGTCGCTGAGGTGCAGGCCTGTGAGGTGGGAAATGCCTGCCTTGTATGTGTTTTGTGAATGTTCCAGCCCACACGGTCTTTCTTTCTTTCTCTTGCTCGTTTGCCCCCTCCCTCTCTTCTTTCTCCTCTTTATTTTACTCAGATGTAAAGTGATCCCTGGAAGTTTTAACAGTCAGACATTCTAAAGGAGGATGAGCTTTGTGAGTGGGGTCGAATGAATGGCCACTGTCTTGTTAAGTGAATGAGCAGAATGAGAACCACTGGAGATCTAAAAAGACAGGATTCTGTGGCATTCTAGCGTAAACAGTTCACACACAGTAGAATTCTGGTGGTAAACCAACTTAGTACTAGCATTGTAAGCTGTCCATACGAGGCGTAGTCCACCACTGCTTCCCATGGGAGGTAAGCATAGTCTACCATGGCTTTGTGTATTGGAACTGTAAGCCCAGATGCACAAAGAAGCAAGATGAAGGAGTGACTCTCTGTCCATTTAGAAGGCAGAACTCTGTTTCTTTCGGCAGACATCATGAATAAGAAACCCAGACTGGCCTGGGAGCTCTATCTCAAGATGGAAACGTCAGGCGAGTCCTTCAGCCTCTTACAGCTCATCGCGAATGACTGCTACAAGGTGCGTCTACAGGAGGGGACGTCAGAGAAGCAGGTCTCTCCAGGAGGCTACCTTTACCCCCTTTTAGGTGTTTATCTGCATGTGACATCATGACTTGGGGAGGAGGTCACAGATTTCTAAAGCGATGTGCTTGTTATTAGAGGCCGTCGAGTTTGCTCCGACTTACAGACCTTATTCACAGAAGAACGAAACACTGCCCAGTCTTGGGCCAACCTCACAATCTTTGTTACGCTTGAGCCCATTGGCAAATTGATTCTAAAGTTCGAGAAAACTGGCCCCTGCCATATAGAGACATAGACTGGGAGGCCTTAGCATTTAAGCAATCATTGAAGCCCTGAGCAAAAATGAAATTACCCAGGAAAAGAAGTAAAGTGGGGGTTGCAAATCTAACCTTGCAAAATAAAGGGCTGGCCGAGTGCATGTGTGCCAGTGTGAGTGTTAGGGAGTTGAGAGAATCGAGGAGAGGGGAGTTTGGGGTTCTGTCTGATGGATTGTTATTAGTTGCTATCGAGTCGGCTCTGACTCATAACAACCCCATATGTACAGAGTAGACCTGCTGCTTATGGTTTTCTTGGTGGGCATAATAACACAAACAGGTCTTGAGGGCCTTCCTTTCACAGAACTTACTGCTGGGTCGGTTCCAACTGTAAAACTTCAGGTCATCAGTGAAACACAAGTCGTTTGCGCTCTCCAGGGGCCTTGTTCTGTAGATTGAAAGTGTTGTGTGGGTTTTTTTTTTTTGGTTTTTTTTTTCAATTAGCCTCAGGAATTCCGACATAGAACCATACACAGGCACATTGTATCAATGTCCATTTCTGGGGTTTGATAATGTGTTGTTGTACTATCCTTATGTAGGATGTAACCACTAGGAAAACTAGTGAAAGGTACATCGGATCTCTCTCTGCTGTCTTTGTAACTTCCTGAGAGTCTGTAGTTATCTCAAAATAAGTTTTTTTATAAAATAACTCAACTAGATCTACCTCCAACAATCTAGATGAGTCTTGTAATGGCAGCAGAAGCAAGACAAAGAATAATGTATAGAGCAGGTTCTCAGGGAGCAGTTGACCATGATGTGGTCTAACAGTAAACTGTAAGAAGGCCAGGAGCTGATGGCCGGGGAGTTGGAACAGCCACACCAGACTTTCCGTTTTGCTGTCAGATTCGTTTCTTGACCGGGGTGGCTGTTGCATATTTATTCATCTGCTGATTAGTCGTTGGTCTGTACAGTTGTGTGGTCCATTCCGCATGTGTGTTATTTCACAACAGGACAGATTTGAAGGGGAACACAGGAGAATGGGAATCCGAACGCTTTTTACCCCTATGAGGTAGGGAGAAAGGAGGAGGCAAGGAAGAATGAAGGTATAAATAGAATTTGAGTGAAAAGAAAGAAAGTGGTATTATCCCTGTGAGGCTTAGAACAAAGACTATAATTGAAGTCTTCCAAGACTGGCCAGTGTTTAGAACCTCAAATGAAGGAATGGAGGTCGCCTAACACATTTAATACATTTATGATGCCCATCAAGAAAACTCATCTAAGCTAAATTTAACGTACTCAGCATGTTCTGCACAGCTAAGGCAATGTGTGGTACACTTGAGAAAGACATCTGTCCAAATCAATTGTGTAAAAGATTTTATTTCCTTGTTAGTACACATACATCTGAGCACTCTGGGAATTTAGGAACCAGGTCAGGGGGAACCACCCTCGCAGGTTGAACCTGATCAAATGATGGTCACATAAATGGTCATAGTCATTTACAGGATGTGCCCAGTCTGAATCACAGTCATCAGTGTTTGTCCCTGGATTTTAATACAATCAGGAGAATTGGCAAAATGTGTGGATTACAACATAGCTTGACTGTATGTAGAAAATGTTTTCAGTGTTGACAACTGAATGGTTGAAGATAAGCTGCCTTAAATGGAGCTCTGAGTCAAAACTGATTTTCCTCTTCCTTGTTTTAATATGGGGTGGGGGTCTACCTAATTTGCTGACGAAAGTGTTGTCAGGGGCCTTAGCGCTTACTCCATCTACCTCAGTCTCGTGGGGGTCTTCCGCATCATCTTTATCAGCACAATGCCTTCCTTCACACAGATGGGCCAGTTTTACTACTCAGCCAAGGCCTTTGATGTCCTCGAGAGGCTGGACCCCAACCCTGAGTACTGGGAAGGCAAGCGAGGCGCCTGCGTGGGCATCTTCCAGATGATCCTGGCTGGGAGAGAGCCCAAGTAAGTAAGGAGGCACAGAGCCCTGCCTCTGTCTTACTGGGAAGTCTCTTGTTTGCTCAGATGATGTCTTCTGAATTAGAATGATGTTTTACAGTGATGCCTAAAATGGGGGCTTCAAAAAGTTTGCAGAAAAATTCCATTATCTTTTCAATCCAGCGTTCCATGAATTCTCCTCATGTGTTTTTATGTGAGTTTTCTCCTCCAGAGATGTTTTTTTTTATTTTGTAGACTCAGGTCATTCTGAATTGTAGATGCTCAAGACATAGAGTTGGTGACCGCTTTCAGAGAGAGCCTAATGCTGTTTTAGCTCCACTTTGGATGAGGCCTCTTCCACTCTCTTCTACTCTTTTCTTTGCTTGTTGGCTTTTTCTTGTGTTTTTTAATGTAGGCCTCAAAGAGTTCAGAATGGAGTTAGTGTCCCATCAGCATAAAAGCAAACAACCAGAGCCCTGCCATGGAGCCCATTCTGACTCATGGTGACCATGCAGCGCACAGTAGATTGCTTCTTAGTTAGGGTTCCATGGTTATACATGTTTACAGGGGCACGCAGCCTCACTCGTCTCCCTCAGAGTGGCTGGTGCGTTTGAAGTGCTGACCTTGCAGTTAGCAACCCTATACTTAACCTACCATGCTACCAAGACTAGTCACACTATTAGCATAGCTGATAATTCCTTTTTTTTAACCTTCTCATATTCCAGGAAATACTGTGGCACTAGATTACATGAAATTAAGTGGCTTGTAGCTTCCTTTGTAACAAAAATTCAAACACTTAAAACTAAATTCAGTTTTTTAAAAATAACTTTGTAACTTTGTAGATTATATTTTTTTTCCTGCCTAACATCTAGTTAGGAAATGGACTAGTATTGGCCATTTTGAATTAGACAGTTATATGATTTAATTGAAGAAAATGGCATCACACTCATTGTCAAAAAAAAAAAAAAAATTTCAAGATCTACCTTGAAGTGCAATGCTGTCTGTGATTGGATAATATTTATAAACCTAAAAGGAAGACCAGTTAATGCTATTCAAATTTCTGCTCCAACCACTACAGCCAATGATGAAGAAACAGAAGAATTCTACCAATTTCTTAAGTCTGAAATTGATCAAACAAGCAACCAAGATGCATTGATAACTACTGGGGATTGGAATGTGCAAGTCAGAAACAAACAAAAATGCTCTGTGGTCAAAAGTGTGACCTTGGTGTTAGAAATTATGTTGGTGATCACGTGATAGAATTTTGCAAGACCAACAATTTATCCATTGCAAATACCATTTTAAACTATATAAATGGTGACTATTCATGTGGACCTTGCCACGTGGAATTGTAGGAATCAAATTGACAACATCTGTGGAAAGAGACGATGGCAAAGCTGTCAGTCAAAATGAGGCCAGAGGCCAACTGTAGAGTAGACCATCACATGCTCATATCATCAACAGCAAGTTTAGGCTGAAGCTGAAGAAAATTAAAACAAATCCACAAGAGCCAAAATATAACCTGTTGTGTAGCTCACCTGACTTTAGAGACCATCTGAAGAACAGATTTGGCATATTGAATACTAATACCAGAGACCAGATGAGTTTTGGAATGACATCAAGAATATGATACATGAAAAAAGCAAAATATCCCTAAAAAGACAGGAAAGAAAGAAAATACCAAAGTGGATATCAGAAGAAACTGAAGCGTACTCTTGAATGTAGAGTATAGCTAAAACAAAAGAAAAATGATGAAATACAAGAGTTAAACGGAAGACTTCAAAGAGCAGCTCGAGAAGACAAAGTCAAGTATGAAATGCACAAAGACCTGGAGTTAGAAAGCCAAAAGGGAAGAACACTCTTAGCATTTCTCAAGCTGAAAGAACTGAAGAAGAATTCAAGCCTTGACTTGATGTATTGAAGGATTGTATGTACCTGGACCAAGAGGCAG